GACCAACTCCACTGCGTTCGGGTAGCTTCAATTAGGGGTCCTTTGCATCATTCACCTGGTATGATCATTGCAACCATCCATTGCCATTTGGGGTGTTCGGACCATTAAACACTCATATCCATGGTATGCATGAACGCATGAACCCTGGTTTATGTGTTGCCCAACCACTGACCATGTCCACGCGCCCATCGACCCACTCCACTCAGAGGGACCCTCAACTAACCCCCCAACTACAGACCCAATTCCAGCAGTTGGGGGTCAGTTGAGGGACACAGAACAGCGCCAGTCCCAAAACTACCCCCCCTTCCCTTCTACAAAACTGGGTGGACAACGCCCAGGTGATCCCAAACCCTACCCCCCCCCCCATTCCCTTCTGCAAAAAAAATGGTTCACAACCCACGGGTGCTCCCACCACCCCGCAGGCCTCCTGACTTCTGGCCACCGAGGCCGTCAGCCACGCCCGGCCGCGGCACCACGTCTTCGCCGACGCCCGCGCCATGTTGCCCAGGCTCCGCGGCGGCATGGCGCCCAAGGCCTGGGGCGGGGAAGGGACATGGCCGTGGGTTTTGTTTGAGGGCTCGACAAGGCTGGATTGTTTAAATGGAAACCAAGAGGACATCCACCAATTTGAGGGTTCCCCTATTTTGAGCGGAGACACACACACACACCTCAAAATGATTTGAATAAGGTTGTGGGTTTAGAGTTCCGCTCCGACTAGCCTTCTGGCTTACGTCACAATTTGCTCAATAAACAAACACATTGACACATTGAGCACGCTGACGCGTTTGTCCAAAACACTGGGTCAAACGTCTGGCCAAAAATGCTCTGACCTCCCTGGACCTAGGGTAGACAATTGGAACCTGAAAGCGCAAAACCGATTGTCGATCCTTTGTTTTGAGGTTCCCAGCAACCAAAACACATTTGGCTGTGGGCAAAAAGTATGTCCCAAAATCGAATCCTGGTAACTGGAAACATGGACCAAAACCTACGGTCCTCTGGTGCTTGAAATTTGACCCCCCATTTCAGCCGGCCTTCAACTGGAAGGGAGGCAGTGGCCGCTGCAGCGTCGCACGCCTCCGCGCGACGTTCGCCGCCTGCTGCGGCGAAGGCTGCGCCAGCGGCTCCGTCGCCGCCAAAGCGCGCGGGTCGGTGTCTCGGGGCCGAGCGGAGCGCCGCGCGAGGTTCGTCAGCTCCTGGCATATGGAACTGAGTGGACAAAATGCACCAGGGTGGAACTACCTGGAGTCTCCATGACCCCTTAAAAAATGGGTCCATGACCCCTTATGTTGGGCAATGACCCCATTTTTAAAGGGTCATGGAGACTCTAGGTAGATGGAATCATCCCCTTTCCGTGCGTAAGAGACATGATGAAACCAAAACGGGCGGGGGGTGCTATCTTTCTGAGATATCGGTGGGGGCCGGGACCCTGCCAAACCAGTAGCGGGGGGCACAAACCTCATGTAAGTCATTATCCAACAATCATGCAAGCGCACAGTTTTTCCAAGAGTACTAGTATACTATAGTATACTATAGTCTTCCAAAACCCTTCTGTCACCTTGCATGATTGATGGAAAATGGTATCAATGTCAAAATTCAATGAGTCTGGCCAACACCATAAGACGTCCAATTGCAAATGTATTGACCCAGCGGGTCATAAAGGAAAATCAACCATCAATCTACACCAGGGTCATCCCCATCCATTCAAAAAGGGGGTTGGGCAGCTTGAATTATTTGGGACTGCTGCGTGGGGAAACGACCTAAAACTACTCTAAAACTACTCTAAAACAACAAAGTTCTGTCTGCAAATAACGCCGCATGGACGGGGCAACTGCCAAGTGGTTGCAATCCCAGAATGTCTCGTACAAGGGCTCGACAACCACACCCCAGAAAAAAAAAGGAAGAAGAAAAAAAACAAGAGAGAAACGTAACAACCTGCAGGGAAAAGCATAGGAATGTTATCTTTAGGGGCCCAACAAAAACAGGGTTCCAATAATTTTCCTGGGGTAAACTGATGGGATTTGATTGGCCACAAGGGCAATGCTTTAACCCTTCCACACAAAATATGCGCCTGCGGTGACAAGCGTGTCACTGCCAAATCGCCATCCTGGCTGCAAGCTGAACTCAAAGCCAGCAAATGTGTCTGACACACTCTTCTTTGGGCGGGGCTCCTTCCAGCAATGCCCCTCCAACCGGAAAGGCTCTTACGAGAGTCTTGGAAGGGCTCTAAGGACTATTTTAGGGCTTTGGGGGCGCCTACGTTTCTCTTGAAGTCGTCTCTGCCCACCGAGAGCCTGCTACAGCAGCCAACTGGAACTGGTCATAATGTTTTCTGCTCTCCCCGCCTTGAATCGCTGGTAGAGCTGGTGCGGCTCTCACGTTGGTTTCAACCTTACATAGTGGGAGTCTCTGACGCTTGGAGCAACATCCATGGACAAATCGCCTCTCAGTCATCAGTTTCTAGATAAAAACACTTCTAAATAAGGGACCAATTCCTGCAGGTGGCGAGTTCCTTTGAACCCACAGACTGGGCTTCGGTTTCACTTTGGTTTCCCTTTGACAAATACAACCACCCGAAGGGTATCCTCAAAAATACTCAGAAGTAAGCCAAATCCTAATTTTGAGCCAGAATCAAAGCCTGGCATTAAAAAGGGTTTTCCAAGAACCAGGTAAACATTACAAGAAGACATCGCGGCCGGGACTGTTCCTTACGTGCCAACCTTCGCTTCCCCGGCTCTGGTGTCTATGCCACAGGTTCCCACGTTCAAGCATAGCTCCTCTCAAGCTCGGGGAATTCGAGAAAGGGCTCAACACAAACCCCGTACGTTTCGATGGCGCACCTAAAACAAACACACAAACGTAACTCGTGCCCACATGGCGGTTGTCTGAAGCTGCTTGTTCCCCAAACTTAGCCTTCGCAACCTTCATCACGGAGCTGTCGCGGGCTACTTTCACAACATCATGACATGTCCGTACAAAGTAGTGCGCGAACATGCGCGAAATGCACTTCCGCAGTCCAGGCTCGAAAGTCGCAACTTTTCAGTTCCGGAGTAGAAAGCCGCGCGGCAGCACAGGAGGGACCCGTTGGCCACCCATCTCCGGAAACTGGTGTTGACTTTCTTGCTCGGACCTGGCGCGAAACAGTATCGAAAATCCGGCTGGGAAGTTGCCGCTCAGCCGGACCTGAAAGCTTCGACAAGCTGCTTTTTTGCAGTGACGTGTTCTTGAGGCAATCCTCCAGCTGTGCTTTCCTCCAAACAGTCTCTGTGCATTCTGCGCGCACTGCCGGCAAACATGCGCGGTTCATCAGTCCATCTTCCTTTTAGCAAACCGCCTTTGTACACAAACATTTCTCGAACAACAACGCTTGACGACGTTCGCGAACTTCAACTCCAAGGGGTTTGCCAAAACCCATGGTGACAACTGCAAACAGCGCGTATTCAGACCTGTGGCGGTAACCCTCATCTACCCAGCTCTGGATTTTAATGTCACCTTACCCCTAATTTGCGGTCGAGTTTGGTGATCTGGAAGCTAGGGGGGTACCTTCGGGGGTTCCAATCCCCAAGCCACCAATCCAAACCACCCAATTAGGGGGTACCATGTGGCCCCTGATAATTGTGACTCCATTGTGGCTCGAGCCAAAAAATAACCCATGTGCATTCATTGCATTTCAGAATTTCAGGGCCCCAGGGTCAACTCGGATGGGGTGGACATCGTGTATCACATCCTTGGGTTGCAGCCTGGGGACATGACCTAAAAAGTGCCATTTTTAACAAGGTGTTTTCTTGGTGTGCGTGTTGTTTTAAAGGACACGTCGTGTCACGTTGGTTCAAAGGGAAACTAGCAACCCAAAGCCACCATTTGTTGGCTTCCCTGTGCTGACACATGGCCATGGGTCAAAATCCCGTACCCCCAGTGAACATCCCAGTCCCCACTAAAATAGGTTCTAAAATGGGTGGTGAATTCACCTACCCCAAAAAGGGATCCCATTGGTTTTGACAACCACAGCCACATACCTACAAGGTAGTGTCTGTTTTGATTGCTGTGCCAAGCGGCCCGCTCGCAGCCCTTTTCGCCGGTCGCAAGGCCTCTCCATGTGGAGCCATGTGGGCTCAGATGCCCAGTGGATTTCCATGGGAAAAAAGGCATCCTTTTTTGGTTGGCTGACTTTAAAGGGGAAGCCCTTCTGCAAACAAAAAAGGAAAAAAAAGGCGCCAGTGGGCAATAGAGTTGGGCTGATGGGGTGCCTTTGGTGCCTCCAATGAAATGTTTGGGCCACATTTCAAGGGAAACCACTAGTTCTCCAAACAATTTCCGACTAGTTGGGCTTGGCTCATGGGGGATTCCGAACGCAGGTTTCGTTTCCACACGGTCTCACTGTTACAATCACCCAGCAAGGGTATCAACTCCAGCAAAAAACACGCACCCGCGAAATGACACAAAAAGCGGCACTGCAAGGCAATATACCGGAGGTTGAGCTGACGAAGCAGTTGAAATGCAAGCAATCCAGCCTCCAGATTTCTCCAAAGCACCCGCAGAGCATCGCTCTGTCTATTCATAGAGCAAATCCAATTTGGTCTGATCCACACCAGTGAAAGACTGCAGCTTCTGAGTTTGGCAACCAACAGATCAGCAGGCCATTCTGTGAGCACTGGCCAACATGCTTTCTTGTCAACCTGCTTCCATTTGCAAAACGATCGACGAAACAGCTGCGGGCTCTTGGATGCAGGGCAATATGGTTTGTCTTAAAATAGGATACCCCTTTAGCTGCTTGGTACCAAATCCAACCAAAGGAACTACTTCATACCACCATGCATGCGCAACATGCACAGAAGGGGTGAGTATTGGGACTAAGTCTGCCACTCCCGTCGGCTCAAAAATGTGTTCGCACCCATTTTTTAAGCAACCTCCAATTGGTGTCCCCTTTGCACGGCCGACTCTGCTCTGGTTGTAGCTGACTTTGCAAGCAACCCCTGAGCACCCGCTGGATCTGAGGAGTGGTCTCCAAGCGTACACATGGACGCCCATCGGACTAGGTCCATGCGGGAGAAGAAGGGCAGAGTCACCATCGCCTCACGATCAAGGCTACTGATGGAATGGCTCACCCCAAAAGCTGATTCCCTTTTGCACCACCCTTTGGCAAGGGAAGGGGAACCCTTTGAAAGCCACGTCTGTGTTGTTCTTCTTTATTTGTTTTCCCGAGGCTGTCCGTTTCAGGGTGTTTCAAAGAGAAACTCCGAGGAAACCGACTATTGTGGGGTGGTGAGCGTACCCCTACTTTGACATCATGCCCAAATGGAGCTTGCCTGGGATCCGCTGAAGCCTTTTCTAGCTCACCTCTTCCCCCAAACTCAGATGTCTTGTGGTCCGTAGTTTCTGAACGATAAACAAATGTGTAGTATGTTAAACACAGATCCCAGTTTAAGGCCAAATGTGGCGTTCCTTTTCGGAGTGGGTGCCTTTTCGCGATTGGTTTGAAAGGAGTTCAAAGGAAAGCCGCACACTTGTGGAGTTCGAAAAGGCAGCTCGAAACGCAATGCCAGTTCTGGAAGTGTCCATGAATCCCAAACCTCAGCCTTCTCCGAGGAAGCTTTGAATGGATCTCAACATGGAACGTTTTGCCCTGAAAAGCACCTTAAAGGGCATCGGGGTTGCCCTCTTTTGAAGTGTTACTGATTCGTTGCAGCAAATCCCAACCTGTAGGGAGTTTAGACAGGGATTTCTATCTTCCAATTGCTTAAGCCCCCTGGAAAAAAAATCCAGTAGTGATAGATTCCCTTTAAAAGCCAGCAAGGCAAACACAAAATCTATTCTTAAGCAAATGGTTGCTATGGTTCTGTTCAGGGATTCAGCTGGGTGCTTGCACTTCTCACCGAGAGCTGAGGCTGCGGCCACAAGGGCAGAATGGCCTGCAAGGTGTAGCCTGCCACAGAAACCCATCGAGACATTCAAATGGCTAGGAATTTTCATTAGGCGCCCTCTGGTGGACATCAAAATTCGGTGGGGATTTATGTGCACCAACCACTTTTTAGGGGTGGTTCCCCATGGAAAAGTCATAGGCAAATTACTTCAGGGGTACTCCTATTCGACCCTTCAACGGTGTTTCACTAGAAAGTTGGTCTCTGGAAGGAAGCCACAGGCGTCGCCCGCTTGAAAGTGGCTGCATCTGCGCTTTCAATCGCGCAAGAGCGGCCACCACTCTGAGGACATTGAATAGGTCCCCGCAGGTAGCCTTGCAGAGGCGACCCAAGGCCCTTTCCAAAAGAATTGCTAGGAGCTATAGCAGAAGGAGCCTCAGTGGGGAGGAAACCCAAGGACCTGAACTAGAATCTTTCTGATTGGCTCCGAAATCGCCTCTGAATCAAGCACATAACCTGTCCTTGGTTTCTGCTGATGTTCCACATCCCGCAATCATGAATTGAAGTTTAGTTTCAAGTAGTCCTGGTGTGGTGAAACTTTGGCAATGCGAATGTACCGCTCAGCTCACTGAGAAGCAAACCAATAGAACCAGCTCCTGGATGATGCAAACCTGAGCGCAGGTTCCCGCTTCCAGCAGTCCTCCGCTCCAACGCTGAGGTTGCCATGGACTCTGACGCACTCCGTGATGACGCAGTTTGAAAGTGTGCTTGAGGGTGGTTTAGGGCTGATTTGTGCAAGACTCGCACCTCTCTTCAGACTGGTCGGAGTGGATTTCAGGTGGTCGCCTTTCCTTCCCACGCCCCTCAATCAATTCCTGACTGAGAACCAGCAAATTGCCGATTCGGGCAACATGTTTGAGCGTACCGGTTAGCTGCCAGTTTAAAGGCGAATCAAAGGGAACCCCAATCATTTTGGGTCCACATGGGCCGGTTGACGGTCGGTTGAATGGCAAGTCAAAAGGACAACCAATCAATTTGGGATCCCAGTAATTTGGACCAGGATCAATAAAGCCCTGATTGAGTTTGATTGCGGGGTGTCCCATTTTATTAAGAGAGGATCCAAAGCGCTTTTGGGGGGAACACCTACTAAACATCAGTTGGTTAATCCTCGGTCGTGGGTTCTTTTGACTTGGTGGTTCCCAGCCATCCGACGAACGAGGGACTGAGGTCCAGCTTATGACTTACGATTTCGATGGCAGGTGCTCCACATCCAGTTGATTGCAAGTCCCATGGTTCGTGGCAAATGGCTCCAATCATTTGGGGAAATAGCCCTATTTGGCTACGGATTCTAACAAACAACCACCTCAAAAGTGGCAATGATATCCAAGGGTCCAGGACCCATGAAAACTCAATCCGTGGGTCTGTCTCAACATGGTGGTGATCCCACCAAAATGGGTGGTTTCCTTTTGCTTTCCTCTCGAAGCCAAAATGGTACCCTGAAGAAAGTTCACACCCACTGGCCTCATTAAATTGTACATGTGACCCCTAAGATGATGGTTTGAGGTTGAGACACCTCCAGTTTCTCACTTTGATAACCCGCAGAAACAAATCTCGCCCACACACATTGAGCACCCATTTGGGTGTACTTGTACCATTTTGGAGCCTTCCAGGGAAACCAAAACTGGGCTGCCCTCAGATCCCCTGCCAAAAGTTCAACATGTGGGTCACATATGGACACAACCACTAAACCAAATTAAAAATCCTCAAGCATGCGAAGGACTCGGATGGCTGGGAGCCACCAAGAAAAGGATACCAACACATCTGGGTGACTTATAATATTTCACCAATTTGAAATAAGGTGATTGGGGATTTTTTCTCCCACATAAACCACCATTTGGGGTGAGGTCGTGTGAGGTCGTTATAACTCACCCAGAACACATCCCCGCGACTTTTTCCCGCACGATCTCGGCTCCGGGCGCTTCCCGGCGAACCTCCGCCAGGGCCAACAAGTGCTGTCCGCGGCCTACGCCCGAAACGAGCCACCCAGTGGGAAACGGGACCCAGCAAAACCCCCCACCCCCTCCCAACCCGTCAGGGGAACCAACACATACTTCCTGGCTGTGAAAACGGTTGGAATACCCGAGGAATTATTTTTTGCTACCCGATGGACATTGAAAGGCTCAAGCTTGAACATCCAAGCATCTCAATCGTTGGGTGCTTGCGTCCAAGTATGCTTCAAATGGTGTCCACCAAGCCATACCAAAATGAACAAATCATACCCTCATGCGCAGGGTTACAAGCATGGCCAAAATGCATCACACCCTGCCCCGCTCAATTCATGGGACCCCCGAAAGTGATACGGAACAAGGGGAACTTTGCACAGAACTGGGAACTCAGACGCCATACGAAAAAGAACCCCTTGTGCTTGCTGGAAGGAACATAAAGGAACAACTAAAAAGACAACAGGTCAAACATGTGAGTCATCATCAAAACCTGGCATCGACATAGTCTACCCAGAACCATGCTTCAAGAATTAACAAGGCGGCGAGGGCACCAATTTATGGCTGAAAGTAAAGTATCCCTGCGCTTCAGCACGAGTTTTGAGGATGTGGCTCCTGTAACTACAACGGGCAATAGCAACACCACAATTCAGCGCTTGCAGGTTGGATGTGGTGGCTCTTCACTGCTCTAGGACTGTCTCCCTGAAAGCAGCTTCCTTTTTGCCTCCCTTCAAGCACCAAAAAAAGGTTCAAAAAAAGCAACACCGACCTGAGTTCAAGGCAAAAACAATAGAATTCATTCTCCCGGGGTACCTTGATTCATTATGACTAGAGTTCCCATTCATGGGCTCTTTCCACTTAAAACATGCCAGGAGCTCTGGTTTCGCTCCACTGCAGCAGCGCACGCACCCGCTCCTGGCCGGACTGCGACAGCTGGAGAAAAAAGAAAAAAACGACGAGGCGGATGTGGCAAATGTGGACCCATGTGATGCAGCATATGAGTCATAATCACAACCCGGTAGTAAAATGGTCTGAACCTTGTAAGGAATTAAGAAGGCCGCCGCCGCTACTTATGTTGGGATTGCCCCTTACTAACCTTCATCTACCCAGGTTTTGACTGTGGCTCATATGGTGTCAATATGTGATGTGTGAAAATAGGGGAACCCGTTGATTGGGCAACTGTTTCCTGTTGCATTCCCTTAGGAGTACTCAACAAAAACACTGCCCCACATACCTGTCCATTAAGTAGCGAACGTTCGTCCCGGGAGCCAGCTCCCGCCTTTCGGCGAGGCAAGTGGTTTGCAAAAGGCCCTCCTTTCCAGGGTTTACCTTTGACCTGAGAGACTCAGATCAAAAACCCAAACAACAATACAAGTCACCCGGAGACCAAACTGGGCCGCCCTCAGTTCCCCCGCTCAAAGTTCAGCTTTTCGCGGCTTAAAAGGAAACCCCCACTAAACACTGAAAGGCTAAAAAGGCTGAGGAACCGGATGGCTGGGAGCCACCGGCAAAATCCCGTATCCCCAGTCAAGATCCCAATCCCCACTAAAAAAAGTTCCAAAATGGGTGGTGAATTCACCTGCCCCAAAATGGGACCCCATTGGTTTTGACCCACAGCCAAATAGAACCTCACTCTCCCAGAAACCAGACTGACCCTGTCTGCCGATCTGCTGGTTATCCCTTCGCCTCAGGTGCAGGCCGGGTCCAGCGAGAGATCATGGCCTGCGCGGGTGCAAGTTGGGTTTTAAAACCTTGCGGCCCCCGTGTTTTTTCTTGTTTTTGATTTTCTTCTGTTTGCTTTGTTTGCTTTACAAAAAAAACAAAAAAACGTTCTGCGCCCGTACCACCAAAAAGGGCCACCAACTCTAGGAAAAAAGGCTTGTTAGCAGGGTTGGGGCACTTTTAGCCATTGAACTGAACAACAAACCGCCTCCTTGTGGTTGACCTTGAAAAGGAAACCAAGATTGTGGGGTCCCCTGATTATCCGTCAACCAAGGAAACTGCATACACAACATGGATGCGAACAAGCCGACCCCGATTAATCAAGCTGGTGGATTGCTAACTACGCAGTGCAACTCCGCCAGAGTAGTCTGGTTCCTCCTGGGTTGCACAGTCATGAATCAACCGCATTCCCAGTAGACAAGCGAAATGTCCTTCTTTCATGGACAGTTTATGGAACCTCATGGGTTTCATACCCTCACTTTCCACGCCCAGCCCCCCACCCCTCCCCCCACCCCTCGCCCCCCCTCTCCCCCTACCTACACCCCGCGAGGCCTCGCGGCGCAGAGCCCACTGCTGGCGCTGGGCGCTGTCCGCCGCCTCGCGGAGCAGCGCCTGACTCGCCCAGGCCCCATGGCTGCAGGGCCCCAGGGCCCCATGGCTCCGACTAGGGAAACCACAGGCAAAACCGATGGGCCGTTTTGTGGGGGCTAAGACGTGGTCCATGTTCCATGTGGGTGCCCCCGAAACGAATGAATTGGACAAGGTGCCTCAATCATAAAGGGCCCGCGCCAAACAACATGTCTAAAACACTTTATTGTGTGTGTGTGTGTTTTTGGAGTTGGTACCCTCTTTCTGTGTGGGTTAGGGAAACCAAAAGCAAACAACCGATGAAATTTTGGGCTAAGACATGGTCCATTTTGCGCTTCTATAAAAGGGCCCCTCCAAACAAATCTTGGACACACTTTGTATGCACCCTTTGATCAATCACCGACCGCCCCACGTATCCAAACACTTCCAAGACCTGACTTAAGGGATCGCCAAAGAACGTTTACCACGGTGAGCTCGTTGTGCCCCCAAGTGAGCTCGCTATAAAATAGGCGGAATGGTCCATTCTCCATAGCGTTGGCCCATTTCCTAGGGTCTCCTCAAGGACAAGACTTGCCCAACCGGCAGTTGGGTCTTTTCCTGAGGCTCAAAAAACCGGTTGACGGACAACTGACATGTCCACTAGGTCTGATAACTTCTTCCTCGGGCATGGGTATTTTGGTATTTTCAGGGTAGGAGTGGGCAGGTTATATGCCACCTACACTAGGTACACACAACTCATATCTGGAGTCGTCATGCGCATCAGCACTGGGCATCTGCTACGCACATCAATCATACCTGGCCACCGCAAACAATGTCACTGGCGTCGGTCAATGCCCACTGGCGTCCGTCAATGCATCCTGACAACCGAGGCAACAAATGCATGGAGACCCCGAACTGGTACGACCAGAGCTGTTTTTCGGCTTTCCTTGGGTCAACGGTACTTCAAGGGCATCCCAGACTCACTGCCTCCAATTCGTCACCCTCTGCAGACCTCACATCGCGCGTGGCGAGCCGTGTGAGGTTGCTTTGATTTGCCGGTGCCATGGTCAACCTTGTGGGTCATGGCTCGTGGAAAACCCTTCCGGTCTATCCGAAAAGGGTCCATGAGTATTCCTACCAACAAAGCGCATGTGTCTTTTGACAAAGGCACATGGGTGAGTCTTTTTGAAGGGTAACCTTTTCAAGGTTAGGTGTGAAGCCAAAAGGACACCGTGACACTGTCCGTATTTTTCCCCAACAGCTGAAAGCTTTGGGGTCAGCCCAGATAGGCTCCGGGGTGGTCCGGGGCGGCCCTTCCACGAGGGTTCCACGAGGGTTCCACAAGGTTCTGCGAGGCCTGCGGGGGTGCGAGCACTAAAAAGAGCACCGCATGCTGTTGGGGATATCACCTGAGCTTATTTTCGGGGGCGGGGCCCGGTGGGGTTCCAACTCATTTAATGAGAACCCATCTGAGGCAGCTGCTCAAGAGGCATCTGGCCAAAGACCCTCATGATCGCCGCAGCAGCGTCTTCCGCGTTGCCAGCCTGCTCAAAGGCTAGGCGAGGAAAGTCCGGTGCTCATGAACCGCGAAAGAACACATAGATCAAATGTGCCATGTCTTAAAATAGGGACTCCCAAACTGCGTAACTTAATGGCTAGTTTCCTTTTGCCAAAGAGTAATTCTCCTCCAAAAAGAACACCGCCATCCAACGATCTGCTGCTTAGTGCTGCTTAGCTCGGAGCCGCCAGTGCAGCAGCTCGATCCCCTGTGATCACCTCAGCGTGATGAGACCTACCCACTCCACCAAAAAAATAGGCAGCGACACCCCTCTGGGTGATGCGTTCAATGTTTCCTTGCGCTGGCAGCCGGCATGGGCTCGGCTCACCCAGCATTATTAAATACTACCGAGGATCGTTCTTGGCAGCGTTCGAAGCATCGTGCGGATACCCTTCTTTCCCCGGTGAGGGTAGCGGAGTTTGGGGGGGCCATCGCCTTCTCCGGGACTTGGCGCATTCTTGCCAAACGTAGCGCGACTTTAGCCAAAACCTTTCTGCGGACACAACCACGGCGGCTCACATGGGTATGAATCAGTCATGTTATTGAATGAATCCTTGGGCTTTATGACATAGCGATTTGCGCCCACCAACCATTCCTGACAGGCTCCCGAAGAAAATGCAGAGCCATGGGGCCCTTTTCTTTCTACGGTGCTTAGACTACAGGGAGCTCGCAAGGAACCCTGCCGCGTTTCGGCGGAACCGCCCGAACAATTGCAGTGATCAATGGGAGTCGAACTTCCCAAGACAACAGACTGGTGCCGGATGCCATGATCACTTTGCGCACCTGTCCAAGACAAATCGCCAGAAAAGCTGCTTCTGGCGGAAAAACTGAAAGAGGGTGCCCTGTTGAATGGCCGGGAAACAAAGAGGAAGCCAGGCATATCTGCGAATTTGGGTCGGTTCAAGGGAAAAATCATTACAACTAAAAAACCCGTTTCTCAAAGAGGCTCTACAAACAATAGGTGAGTTTGTTCTTTTGGTGTCCCTGTCAAGCCACGCTACCAAACAAGACACGCCCCTTTTTTGGGCAGAACTACCCCAGAGTTTCGCCACCGGTTCGCTATAGCCTGAGCGCCCAAGCTTCGGAGCGACCGCAGGTGGCCAACAATGCCCCTGCCTGAGTTGCAGCGATGCTGTGGAGGGCAATCTGGGTACTAAATAGGGGTCAGGAAAGCATGAAGCTATATATATATGAAATATATATATATATGATATATATATATGATATATATATATGATATATATATATATACATATGTATGTATGTATGTATATATGTATATGCATACATTCTACATACTGCATGTATACATGCGTATATATGTATATATATATATGCATATATATATATATATATGTTAAAATTCATAGATGTATTTCCATCCTGTTTGGGCAGAAACATCTAAAAGCATATGCGTCCATTTTATTTAGCTCCCAGTAGGGACAAGACTCGACATGGGGAAGGCCAGAACGTGGGTTGTTGTCCCTTTGGTGTCACTTTCAAATAACCGTTAAAAAGGTAGGACAGAACCCACACATTTGTGTGTGTGGCTGTGTCTGAGTGTGTCTGTGTCTCAGTGTGTCAGTGTGTCTGTGTCTCTGTGTCTGTATGTTTGTGTGTTAACACTTTGGGTTCTGTGTTTGTGTTTTTGTTTGAGTTGGTACCCTGTTTGGCGTGGTGCTAAAGGGAATCAGAGGGAAATCGACGCTTGACACATACCATGCATATCCTCTGTTCTCAATCAAGCCGTTGGGCTGCAAACGGCGGGAAGAAGTAGTCCTTATTCACTTCACAGTAATGACCGCCTTTGTTCGCTCTGCTTGCCCCCATTCGCCAGTCACGCTCTTCATATTGTCAAAGCAAGCTTTGCTTGAACACGAACTCCTGTTTACAAAACGCAGAGACACAGACACATGGGTAAGTATTTGGTTGGTTTCAGGAAAACCAAAAGGAACGCCAACTATCCCAAAAACCATCCCAAAAGCCAAAAGCTCACCATCCCTATCATAAGGTCAACCCAGAAGCCAAACAAAAACCATCGGAGTCAACCATTTTCATGGGAGTCACAATCAAAACCCGGTACAAAAATGGTCGTCCCAGAACCATGTAAAGAACTAAGAAGGCGGCCGCAGCTATTTATGGCTGGGATCGTCACTTGCTAACCTTCACTTACCCGGGTTTTGATTGTGGCTCATGGGGCCGGTCGGGCCCAACACGTTTTCTGGGCCTCCGCACGCTCTGAAGTGCCGCGAGCTGGGCGATCAACTTCATCCATGGCCTTTAGCACAACGGGTGCTGATGTCTGTGGGCTTTTGTTTACACATATATATATATATATATACATATATATATATATATATTATGTATATATATATATATATATACTCATTTACTTTTTGAGGATACCCGTTTTTGGGGTGGCTTAAACGGACTGGCTTGATCTATTTTGAGGGTACCCCCGTTTTGGGGTTGGTTTTTCCAGGGAAGCTCCAAGGAACCCAACCATTTCGGGGCTCCCCTGGCGCATGTCTCACTTCTATCTAAACATTGCCCTGGCGGGTTCCTCTGGTCTTGTACCTTAGGTCCGCGGAATCCAATGCAAACAGCCAGAGGATATGGGAAGGCTCTCAGCCAAGTACCGTTGAAACTGCAAACCGAGATGTGGAAAACATGTTGGACCCCTGAAAGTTGTGGGAGAACCAGACAAACGTTGAAGGCTCGCACATCTTTGGGCATTGGGATCTGTGTGTGCGTGTCTCAACAACTTGCCACCTTTCCTCTTAGTTTGGCTAGAAGGTTTTCCAAAAGGACAGGCTATGCGTTGCCCAAACGGACATGAGGAGACTAGGGTTGTCATCCAGGCTCTTGTGGTTGAATTGTAGTGGGTCTCCATGACCACACCGCAAATTGACCATGCTGACTATTTTAACCACAAAGCCGTGCCACACGTCTAAACTGAAGCTGCCCTTCCATGAGCAAGCAGCTGAATGTGGGCTCTATGGAACTCTGAAGCAAATTCATGCACCGATCTGAGCGGGTTCTTCCCACCAACACACCACGCTCCGTGAAAGTGGGGCAAATACTGGCGGTGACTCTTTCTTGCGGTTGGGTCCCTTATGCTTCGCCTGGGCCCTGATCGCTTGGCGAGGCTCGGAAAGGAACCATCCCGCCTCCCCACCTCAGGTCGCTATCCCAACAAGGAGGGAAACTACCACGCTTTGTAGTACCTGTCTATCTATACTGGGCTGCCCTCAGATCCCCCGCTAAAAGTTTAACTTTTAGTGACTTAAATGGAAACTACCACTAAACACCAAAAAGCTAAAAGCCTAAGGGGATGGCTGGGAGCCACCAAGAATATACCCCGTAGATTGGTTTTGGCACCCCCAAAACAAACCGTGGCCACGCACGGAAATCCCCAGGGACAGTATTTTGTCCTTAGGCATCTAGCTTCAACCAAACACCAGAAAGGAAACCTACGGCTTCACCCGGGTGTATGATCGCATGTGAGGACCTCTTACAAGGCGCATCAACTCGGTGATTCCATTTCCAATCGCCCTTCAAACACCGGGAACACGTTTCTGGTTACTGGCAACTGGAATCCACTGGTCCACTGGGCACAAGTCGCTCTTCTCAGTCAACACCGCCGCATCGAGGCTATGGCGCAAGCAACTGGAAGAGCGGTGCCAGCGGGTTTTTTCGCCGGTGCCCAGGTAGGTTTACACCTGTGCAGGTGGCAAAGCCTTTTGGGTGTGTCCCAAAAGGCAGAATCTCTTCCTCTTCTCGATGTTTCCTTGTAAAAAGGATCCCTCCTTTGTTTCTCGGATGGGTCCTATTTTAATGCTTCCCCCTTTTCATTAATTTGTTATTTCAAGTTCCCTGTTCTGGTTGCCTGCCCGCCCTGTGTTCCTGTTGCTTGACTCGGGTCCCTTGGAACAAGTGCCAGAAACAGAATTCCAGGTACAATATACAACATGCACCAAGTGGATGTGCTCTCAGGACCAAACAGGTGTCATGACCTGTCGGTCGAACATGCCAAAGATCGTTTCGACTACCCTCAAACCACTTCCCAAATAGACAACTTTCGTGCAGGCGCCTAAACAAAGGTTGTATATCCTATTTGTGTCCAAGGGGGGAGTAGTGGAATCTTGGACGGACAAGAACTTAATCACGAAAACTATGCCCGCACACCACTAGCAGAATGGCAAGGGCGCTGATGCCCACTGGTCGAAGACGCGAGGCAACTGCTTGCCTTGAGCCTTACTTGACAGCCAACTTGTGGGTGTCTTTAAGTCACCCCCAAATCGGTTGGCTCCTTTTTCGTTTCACGATGAATCCAAAAGGGTCTCCTCAATCCTTGGAAACACCCTTGTCAACCCCCAAATATCCAAACACTTCTTGTCGTGGTTGATTAGTGGCTGAAAAAATACAGTAAATAACAAGCAAAAACAGCTGTACAGTGTGGACGGAGCCCTCATAGAGTTGCTTGCCAACAAACAATGCAATTTTCTGCAAGACGGCCAAGTTTGAAGGGCTTTTCATGTTGGGTCTGCTTGTGGCAGCACGTTGCCCGGGCTCAATTTTGGCGCATCAACCCATAGCCGATTTCGCGCGGCCGAGGATTTACGGACATTTTCCAGCGAAAAACGACGACCTCGCCCCCCCCCCCGAAACCGAAACGGGGTTCAGGCGGATCACTCGGGGGTTGGGGGGGTTGGGCGCCCGTTCCAAGGCCTGGCGCCATGGTTTCCAGCTGGTTTCGCATGGAGCCCAGCCTGGCGCGGGACTGGTCCCTGACGTCCTAAACCAAGCCCAAGGGAGCAACGAGTCCAGAGGTGGACGCTAACCCATAGATTCGCCACAAGCCAACTGGTTTTTTGCAGGGCTCAGGTTTGGAAGTAGAAAGAAGAACAAATAGCTGGCCTCTCCGCCCGAACTGATCGGAAGGCAGCTTCTTGGTGGGTCTCATCCAAGGATTCTGCAAACCTTTCTGTGGGGAAGGAAGGATTGGTGTCTTTTCTTTGAGGGTGCCCCTTTTAATGGGAAATCATAGTGAACCCACTGATTTTGGGGGTTCCCCTATTTAGAGACACGCCAATGAGGTCCTTCCCCCTTTCCAACGATCATGAAAGTGATCAAGAGGTCTTTTCAAGAGGATGCTGTCTTTTCCAAAACTCTCCAGTCCGCTTCCGCGATTGTTGGAACAAGGATCATGTAAGCCTTGATCAAATTGTCTGGCCCCCAAATCACCACGGGCAACGTTTCCCATGTAGTGCCTGTTTTTTTTTAGTGGTTGTCCAACCAATGGTCATCCAATGCAAAGGGAATTTGGATCAACCCCCATCTGTCCTTAGATTTAGCGGTGACCAAGTTGCCTTGATCGAATCGCCCTAAGCCGATCTGACGGAGCCGTCCCCGCCAATCAAAAAAAGGAAACACGCGAATGGGCGTGTCTTTGCTAAGGGGACCTTCAAAATGGCCGTTGTCCTTGTGCTTTCCCCGGTTGCCCGTTAAAACTGGGTACCCTAAAAAACACACACACACACACAACTGGTGATTTCCTGGCGGAGCTGTGTTGAGTTTGGCTCCTGCGGCAACAGGAGCCCTGTCTTCACGTAATCCGTTCCCACCTTTGGGGCCTTTTCACTGACCTAGCAATCTGGATTGGTGTGAAGCTTGGGGGCGATTGGTGTGTTATCTCACTACAACATGTACGAATACATGTATAACTGTCCTGCATGAATGCCTTGTATTTCATGCCCTCACACATATATATCTTGAAACCATTGAAACACACAGGA